TAGGGAAAGGAAGAAAGATCTTTCATGTCCTGAATTGGCACAATCGACTTAGAACTCTCCCTAAAACCGGCCAGTAATGATTATGAAAGAATGAGTAGCTTTCTTTTTTTTGGAGAGGTTTTTGCTATAGGGTACGTGCGCTCACCAGAAAGAGAGACAGAAAGTGAGAAATCACCCCCCCAGGGGGGATAGCCATACCACAATCCCTTCTCCTCCATTCTCCTCTCAGGATCCTGGGCATGTACGCACTTGCACCCAGCATGAGTTTAAACCACCGGGTCTGGGACTCGAACTGCGGTCAACTACATGGAATTTCAGCAACATAGCCATTATGCCAACTGCTGGTCCCAGAATGAATCATTTTCTATGTCTGAGAATGGATGCAGCTTGGGGAGAGTAGAAGAGGGAGATGCTGTGAGTGAGTGTTCTAAATCCCAGCCAGAGTCCTCGTTTTCTAATCATCACTGACCTGGATCCATCGAATAATTTTGCCTATTTAACCAGTGATGGTTTTATAGTCGGCCTATAAAAAGGATAAAAATAAAAGCAATAACAACTACATCTATTTGGTACTCGTTTTATTTCAGTCACTGTTCTAGGGGTGTGTCTGTATTATCTTACTTCATCTTCACACTGTCTCCATGGTAACACGTGCCTGTTGTACGCACGAGGACAGGGTCCCATCTCATGACTGTCTGTAAGCTTTGGGCAATAAAGTAGCTACCTGGCATAGCTGTGCGATAAACATGGATGTCGTTGTCCCTTGATGTGCAGGGAACTAAAAGATCAGATCTTCGGTTTGGCTCACCACAGGGGGTGCCTTGGAGACTTAGGAATTCGAGTGTTTTCTGACCTCAGGAATAGAGCAAATAGGAGAGCCATTTTTCATCTGGGAAACTCAGAGCTCTGCAGAGCAACCTTAGTATTGACTTGATGAGGAATTGTAGCAGATTGGAACACAGAACATTTGAAGCTTATCAGCGAAGTGGAATTTGAAGCCAGAGACCTCCCAGGAATGTGCATTAGATACCAGTGCAGAGTCAGATCCATAGGAGGAGGAGGGAACTGGAAATGCCGATGTCTCACTAGATAAGAGCAGCATGAACACCGGGCGCAGGTGGAGTCTGACGAGGCTGAATGGAGCATGAACCACATCCTGTGCTCTCGGCAGTGTCCTCCTTGTAAATGCTACTGTGTTAACGACACGTGCCAAGGAATTAAATGGTGCACAACTATGCACTCCTAGCTTCACCTTGCGGGGTGGAGTTTGATAAACGTTTGAGCCACCAGCAAATGGCATGATCAAGGAAAAGAATCTATGCTGAAAACATTAAACTGAGTTCCCATCTACTACGGGGAGAGCATGCGCCCTGTAGTGAAACTCCCCCTCCCCCAAGAAAAAAGAAATTGCTTCCTTAGTAACACCTAAACTGAGTCATTAAAGAATAAATCTAACTCTGGCCTTTTTAGGGTTTCTGTTTGCATGTTTATTGCAGCACTATTCACAGTTGGTAAGACAACCTAATTGCCCAAGAACTGATGATTGGATTGAAAAAAATGTGGCACATGTACACTATGTAATAATAATCAGCCATAAGGAACGTTGAAATCCTATCACTTGATACAAAGTGGCTGAACATAGAAGATTTAATGCTAAGTGAAGGAAGCCAGACTATGAAAGACAAACACTGTAAATCCCTGCTCAATATATATATCCAATATCTGCACTCTGTGAAAGAAATTGAAAGATTTGAAAATAGAATAGTGAGGAAGACGAATGTAAATACCAGAAACTATATGGGAGGGGGGTGGATAGTAGATGGTAGGCTCAAGGAAGAAATACCTAAAGATGATAAGAATGTAAAGTTATCTGTTGAAAATAATGTATATGGTAATAGCCTTCATTTGACTGTCAAGTACTGCTTGCATACTTTGAGAAACCATATTATGTTCTATAGAGATGAATAACAATTAAATGCAAATAAGAAGTCATAGAGACCAGCAGATAGTAATGGTTACGGCACCGGACTCCCACATAGTAGTAGTTTGAGTATCAGGCCCAGTGGCTTAAAACTCACACTGGGTGCTTGTGTGTGCATGCCCAAGATCCCAAGAGGAGACTGGAGAAGGGATTGTGGTGTGGCCATCCCCCTCTGGGGATGGGGGTGATTTCTCACTTTCTATCTTTCTGTCTCTCTCCACTAAGTACACACACCCTATGGTAAAAATCACTCTCAAAAAAAAAAAAAAAAGGACAGAAAAAATAAAAAAAAAA